CACCTCCCTTCAACATCTGGGCAAGACCCTGCTTAACTTTGATGGTCCCTTCGGTAGAAGACATGATAAGAGCTTGAGTGGTAGCTATATAGTAAAACTAGAGAGATGACCGGTATGCTCGTGGTATTAATCGTTTTACCTCAGGCAAAGGTAAAAACCTTTATGAGCTTCACACGTTTAGAGTATAGTGAAAATGTTATAGAGTCTACAACTAACAGGAGTCGTATGTAACTGCAAGGTAGCAGTGATATTGGAAGCAGACTATGCCACCTCGTTATCTGGAAACTAGCAGTCAGACAGTATCCATATCCATATCGATTAGCCTGGCGCGCGCATTATACGTGAGACCCTGGCGCATTTTGATTGGAAGGATGCTTTCTCGCCAATGAGCTCCTACAACAGTGACTTATTAGAGGACTGTTCAAGTATCACAGAGGAGAGAGGGATAAGAGAAGGGGGGGGGTATGTTGAAAGTAATGTGGATGTCAAGGGTTACACAGGATAGGTTAGCAACAATACACCTCTCCGTGTCATAAGGGTCAGTGAATAGGAGCTATTATTACTACTATCTCTACCACCATTCACTAATCCAAGTAACACTACTCTATTATAGTACTGTATTGATAAGACGTGAGTGAAGTGGTAAGAAGTAGTAGCAGCAGTAGTCAGCAGTACTATTGTGCTATATTCCTTTTCTTTTGTTCCTTCGACATAGATATCATCTGCTTCCTCTTAGCTATCCTCTGTCTATCATACCCTGATAATGTCGTCAAATGGCCTCTATCCAATGGTTTCCTAACAAGTGTCATTAATAATCACCATTCTTACTACTAGTACTCCTACTTATATTCACTGTTCTTCTGTTTACTGCCTGCCCCCTTCTTAGGATGTGGTAGATCATTCAACCAGGATGGTATATCCAAGCCAGACTGCTTCATAACACTGATGATTGGTCGTAGGTATCTGATAACCTTACATCCCCCCTCGTCGTCCCTATATATCCTCATTACGGTTTATCCTCGGTAGTGAACATTGTGACAGCCTCTCCTTTATTACCAGCCCTACCAGTACGGCCTACTCTGTGTATATAAGTAGCCGAGGCCCGTGGTATATCGATGTTAATAACCTTGTATCAACACATAGATACAATGAGTATATGTATAGTATGCTTACTTGAGCAACCCCTTTAAAATCAACACCTCGGGCCATAACATCAGTACATATAAGTATCCATATCTTCCCCAAGCGGAAGTTCTCTATACACGTATCCCTCTGTTTACGACTCATATCAGAGTGAATACAAGCAACGAATACACCTGATCACACCACTCTACTAGTGAATGCAGCATTCATACCGAGCA